ATATTACCCCAACATTTCGCTTTCCGATACTGAAAACCGCACCTTTTTAGCTGCTTCTTAGGAAAAGTTATCAAAGAAATGGCCGTGCTTCTTCTTTTCTGAAATGGATAGTAGTAGAGCATGAGCGACTATTGCTCGTTTTTATCTTCATCAGAACGTACCGAGATATTAAGTTCTCTTTTTCTGTTAAAACATGCTGATATAAAAATGTTGATGTATGAAAATAAAGAGAACTTAATGTCTCGGTACGGTGACTTCGGAGACTTTTAGAAGTTCGAGCGTAGAATGATATTAAAAAATCTCAGCACCTTGTGAACGTTTATTCTTTCGTAAATCGTATGTTGTTTGGATTATATCTGTTAAAACATGCTGATATAAAAATGTTGATGTATGAAAATATAATCCAAACAACATAAGATTTACGAAAGAATAAACGTTCACAAGGTGCTGAGGTTTTTTAATATCATTCTATCAAGACTGCTGCAAGTAAAAGAAATATTTACACTTTCTTTAACATAGGATCTCCTGTCTCTTTTTTACAGAATTTATTTTTTTCAATATCCGGCGGTGAATTAACAAAGCGTGTACGTGTAAAAGCGATGCAATGTATGTTGAAACAAGACGTCAGTTGGTATGATAGACAAGAAAACCACAGTGGAGCACTCTGTGAACGTTTGTCGTCGATGCATCAGCTGTTCAGAATGTAAGCTTTTACAAACAACTATCTTAAAACACATACGTAAAAGCATTGCGTGTCTTTAGATAACAGGATTTCGTATTGGTCTGATAACAGAAGCTTTTTCGACATTTTTTGTTGGTTTTATGCTGTGTTTCCTAGTTAGCTGGCAATTAACATTAATTATTATCGGGAGTGTTCTATTATGCTTTGCAATCATTTACATACAGGTATATTCAGAAACAGTGTTGTTAAAGAAAACAAGAGAAATATTAGAGCAAGTTTCCGTAGTAAGTGAAATTAATTTAATTATAGTGGTTGCAAAAATTTTCATACATCCCAATCAGCGGCGTAACCAGGATTTTTAGACTGTTAGGCCATTTTCCACAGAGTCCAAAAAATCGTTGCGTCTAGATGGGCCGAACATTTCCTGCATGAACAGGACATTTTTTTTTGTTACCAGTTGATACCTCATTTTCCGTTTTTCTTGTCACCGTATCTCAAGAGTGTGCGTATCATCAATAATCCTTTTGTACCGACAAATCTTTTTATTCAAGCGTCTAAATATTTTTTATAAAGCCTGGTAATGTTCTATGCATAAGAAATGAAACATGCATCATCATGAATGAAGCAAATAAGAGAGAGAAAGAGTTAGAGTTTTGTGATGTTCTCATCTGCTAAAGCCCAAAGTCTAAAAACATCGTGAATTTTTCTGTATATAACAATTTAATATTTCTTGTTTGTCATCTTTTTCATTCAGAAAATAATTGTAATGCTGATAGTAGTCGATCGGTAAATTTATCGGATAACTGTTTAGCTAGTTTTAGTGTTTTTTCTTTTATTATTAATTCTGGTCTCAATTGAGTTAACAACACAATTTGTGGACAGTCATTCCTGATAGTCGATTTTTGATATTAGTAACTAATTTAGCTAAAAATGGTAAACAAACATGATCGCGATAATAATCCCGGGGGTCTGTTATTGTTATCTGCTTCTTTATTAATGCAACAATAGAATGATGTGGAATGCATGGTGTGATAAATAATTCTGTACGTAATTAATCTGAATGTTGATAAATAATATTATGAAAATAATCTGAAGCATCAATTTTTCGTTTTTACAGAATATCAACGTATCTATTGTCAGCACCAAATCTAGCGTTGGTGTTTGTAATAATCGACTCAATGGAACAATCTCTGATAATAGAAAACATGATAAATAAATAGAAACAATATGTTCAAAATTAGTAATAGTGTGATATAGTTGTTCTGCTCTATCATCTTTCGATTTTGCATAACGTTAACGATCTAATGTATTAATAGTGGGCAAATATAATTCAAGAAATGTTTCAGTTGATGTATTACGATCAACCCAACGAGTGTTACATAATGAAATTATTCGGTTTTTTTCCGATAATTGTATATAATCACCTTCATTCTTGATTATTTCTGATCGCAAAGTTGCCATTCGTTTCAGTGAGTCTTTAAAACACTTAATTATTTGTCTGATTGTACCCATCATATTACGTATTTGAGTATAACTACATGTGTCTATTAATGCTAAACTTAAACAATGATTACTACAATGCATGTATTCAGCATCCTTACAACATTTCTTAATAATTGCTTAACAACCTTTATAAATACCCGATATATTTGAGGCATCATCGTACGCTTGTCCTACACAATTATCAAGTGGTAACCTATAACGGTCTAAATAATCAAGAATTATATTAGCATTAATTCATCTGTACAGGGTGCGTAAAAATGTTTTTCCAGCGGGATACAGCTCAAACGACAAATAATTAGGTATGGGGCGAGTCGAGCGGGTGCTCGCCACGAGCGCGCTCGACGTCCGAGCGAAACAGACGAATCGCGCTCGACGTCCGAGCGAAACAGACGAATCGCGCTCGTCACTCGAGCGACTGACTTACGACTCGCGCTCGGTGTCGATGTCATTTCTAATTTAAATAAAATTCTCTATACTTTTGCACAAAAAATGTTTAAACAATTGTTTACTTGCTGTTCACTTATTATATAAACAAAAAATATATTTTCTTCTATCAACAGAGTAAAACGAATGTCGTACTACGTTTGGAGCGAAATCTACACAAGAAAGCAAATTTTTTACATATTTTGTGAAAGTTGTTAACTGACTCAAGAAGAAACAATTTTCTCATTACACAAATTGTCATTGCATTTTAATAATATGCAGTGCACGAGCGCGCTCATGTAAAATGTATTAGAGCGACGAGCACGCTCTAAAATGTTTTTACCAAAATGGTTAGCAAAGAGAGCTCTACAAAGTCTAATAGACGAAAAAATTTCTGAGAACCTCATGTTTTGGTGATTGACTACCGATGGAACTACCCAATTTTGTCCCTGAAATTTTGAAAAAGTCCGTAATTCTATAGTTCCTAATCATTCTATGGATTCTCATTTATACTAATAAGTCTCATTTTTAACGGGCTTTTATTTGGTATAAAATTCAATTTTATATCATTTGTCATTTGAGCTGCACCCCGTGGGAAAACATTTTTACGCTCTCTATACATGAAACAGTATCAATAAATGTAATAAAATCGTCATGAATATCGTTTGTCGATTCATCATAATACCGTAAAGAAAAACTAGTTTGTTCAGTAGTTGATGTATCTGTTGTTTCATCAACAACAATACAACAGACGCAGTCTTTACTTCGACGTCTAGTATTTTTCAATATAGTTTCATGTATACATTCAATTATTCCATTTTGAACTAACGAGCTTATAAATGATGAATTTCTTGGTCCGTTTTCTAAATGACGTTTTCTTCTGAATTAACACGTTGTTTTAATAAAGCTATGCAATTAGAATCGGATGATGAATCTACACAATTTAATGTTTTACGTATATCAATTAATTTTTCTTCATGATGACCACGTAATGGCATATTTTGTCGAGTACAAGTGATAACAATTTTAATAACTGATAACAGTACTGCTTTAGTACGTTCAATTAATTCAGCCCGTTCTTTATCAATCAATGCAACGATTAATAATGATGGTTGTTCAAATGTACCGCGAAAACTATCAGCATACATCGCTGATCCTCTATGAAATTGTGATTTTGAGTGGCCATTAACTATTTCTGAATAATTTTTTAAATGTTTATATAGAAAACAGGGTGTTTCAGCAGAAATACTTAATGGTTGACCGAATACGTTGGGAAATAATGCACAAGTAATACAATAATAACCTTCAGTATATGACAATAAGCAAGAAATGGATTTTCAGTTAACCGTTTTAATTGAAAATGACGATTTCGGTCTTCTCCTTTCAATGCTTGAAATTTGTACTTGTTATCTGGTTTGAAGTGATTAGTTAATAACGAACATTTTAGATCATCATTAATTTGTGATTTGATAAATATATAATAACCAACATCGAAATGATTTCCTTCACGAACAGAATTAACATCTTTCACTTCAATATCCACATCTTTCAAACCTTTACTAAGCTGCTCAGATGCTGCATCATCATCAACACTTGTCACTGTTGATAAATTATCTCCTGTATTTTTTAGCAGAAAACCTGTTAACAAGTAACTACTTTATAGGGGTATGAAAAGAGAAATTTGAACTTTTAAGTTCAGGGAGAAAAAACAGGTTTCTGAACATTAAAACCGGCTTCCCGCCCATAAAAAATATTTTCCATCAAAAGCTAACGTCAGATTCATGCTCAGCAAAAACTGCGTTTGGTTATGCGTCACTCGAAGTTTAACAAAACTTTTGCTTTCATAAAAATAAAGCCTGGAAGAGTTTCACTCACTAAACACCTGACGGGGGAAACCAATGCAGTATTCTCAAAGAAAATTTTTGGTTATGAAACCGTTTCATAAATTTTGAGCGACACATCACTAAACACAATTTTTGATGCTAAGCACGAATATGACGTTAACCTTTGATGGAAAATGTGTTTTATGGGTGGAAAGCCGGTTTTAATGTTCAGAAACCTGTTTTTCCCTCTGAACTTAAAAGTTCAAATTTCTTTTTTCATACACCTATACAGTAGTTACTTGACTACATGCTGACGCAAACATTTCCAAAAACTGTTTAGTCTCTCGTGCATAAAAGGTATTTCAAAAATTGCCCTAAGATCCAAAACATTAACAGATGGGTCCAATTCTTTCACTTAAATTCCACACTATATTTATCTGACTCAGTTCTGTGCGCTTTTTCGAGTGGCTTAATCAGAATTGTTTTTTACACACTCATTCCTGAGATTCAGCAGTCACACTGAAGAGTATGTCACCTTTTTAGGCTTAAAGTCGCGGTTCCACTCTAAGGAAAAAGCTTTTCAAAATTATTTTTTTACCAAAATGTAACCTGCGCTCTGTAATATCGACGGATTATCCTGTCTTCATAAATCAAAATGTTATGAAACTTTTTACAAGTTTCATAAAATTTTTCATTTTTATGTAACTTGTGGGTTAAAAAAATCCACACCCAAGTTTGCTAAATTTTATGAAACCTGTTTCCAAGTGTCATAAATGTGTGATTTATGCTGTTGTAGGTTTAATTAATTGTAGTATTAATATGTTACCTAGAGACATATAACATTATATAATTAGTATATGTCGCATAGAGACGTGTGTTTGTGATGTTTTAATTGAAATTATGATTTATTTAATTAAAAACAGTATCATGCGTCTCTAGGTGCTATGTGAGGCTCGTGGAGACACAGTGACTCAACAAAATAAAGGTGCTAATATCTCACCAAGATAGGTATGAGTTACTTAGAGGCATAGATTGATTCAAATAAAAATATGGAATTTTATTCTAAAACTGTATAGACAAGTCTCTAAGTGATATGTGAGTCTCTCAGAGACATATGCTTACTCGTACAAGAAGTGGTATTTTTATTCCAAAATGGCCATGTATAAGTCTCTAAGAGCGTCTCTTAGAGACATGTCCAGATTCGTTTAAATGAATAAAAAGTTGTGTATTTAATGTGAGAGTGCAGAAGGTAAATTCAAGCGTGTATTAGAAAAACATGTTTTGTAAATGTAAAAAGATTTTTTGTTGAATAGTAATAAACGTTAGTATAGTTATTAGTTTAAAGTGCGACTGTCGCCGTATGCCGACTTTCTTAAATTTGGGAGTTTGTCTATTAAGAAGCGTAGTGAGTTTGTATCAGATATATCCGCCTACCTGAGCGGGAGAGATATGTGTAACTTGGCGAATTATGAATCACTCAGTGACATTTTCTAACTAAATCAATTGAATAAAAACTTTTATGTTTCATTTTAAAAGGACTAAAATCATTCTCTCAGAAATCTATACGTTACTCAGAGACATATTCGGTTGATATTAAGAAACTCAGCGACAGATACTGACTTCTATTTTCATTTTAGAATTCTACTTAAAAAATAATAAAATTATGATCATCATTCCTACTGTTCAACACATGTCACTATGAGACTTAGACTAATACAGGTCTCACTAACATAGGTCTCTCGGAGATATGTGCTAATTAAGTGAGAAAATTTTTCTCTAAAAGCCATGTTAAACTTTTTATGAAACTTGTAAAAAGTTTCATAACAAATTCATAAATGTGTGATTTATGAAACTGGATTTATGAAGACAGGATATCTATCCTCTATCGACTGATGTAGTTTTCATATTTAATCCGTACTTATCAACGCAAAAAAAAGATTTATCAACTGTACAGAAAATGTTTGCCGACCTGAAACACTTCACTTTTCAGTCTAATGAGCCTACAAAGAGCAAGGATAAATATTTCTAACTTTTTTATCTGCACATATACTAGAGATATCGGACAATATTTTGGTGAAAACCACTTGTCAAAAGCTATTTTCGTTATCGAATTATGATCGAGAAAAAAAGAGGATTGGGTGTATGGAAAATTTTGCCTCCACTGTATAATAAAATATCCTATAGTATTCAATTATTTTCTAGCTCGCTACAGAATCACTTCAAAATATTCGTACAGTTAAGCAATTGACTAAAGAGGATGTTTTAATAGAAAAGTATTCCAAATATATTCACCAAGCATACACGTAAGAGAAAACCACGCAAGAGTGAATGACAATTATAATAACTTGTTTTATTTGATAGATTGTCAAAAAAATATTTATGTATTAAAGCAATTACATACGGTTTGGGACTAGGAAATTTTTATTTTATTTTAGCAGCAGTATACGCAGCCATTCTTGTATTAGTTGAACATGAACAAATTCAAAGTGAAAATATAATGATGTAAAACGAATCGTCAGAAGTAATATATCTCTATCTTATTTTGACTACCTTTTTAAGGGCAATAGCACTTATTCTATTTTCCATACAACCATCTCAAGTGATTTTCTCCTTGTGAGTTTTAAAACTGACGCCTTGTAAAACGAACAGTATCAAAGAAAAGCTTTCTTTTATTTTATTTTCTTATATTCAGGGTAATAGAAATCGGTAAATCTATATCAGCTGCACAAAGCTTTTTCGATTTAATTGAACGACAACCATCGATTGATAATTGTTCAACATATGGAAAAGAAATTGTATGTATTTTATGAAAAATTGTTTAAATAAGAATATGCATAGATTAGAACTATCTTATCGTACGTTTCAGCAAGATTTTAATGGTAATATTAAATTTGACCTTGTCCAGTTTCGCTATCCGACTCGATCAGAAGTAGTAGTGTTGAATAAATTTGAATTGGATATTACCCGTGGTCAATGTATTGCTCTTGTTGGTAAGAGTTAATATCCAGAGACTTTCTTTCTATTGATTCGGGTGATGACTTAAAGGTGCAAGCGGCTGTTATGCTTATTCATCAATCAGGAGGGCAACATAATATCCAAGCGATTTACAACAGAATATCGATAACTATTGGTTTTATAATCGGTGAACAACTCAGTGGAAAATCGACGATTATACAACTCATCGAGTGTTTCTATGATGTCAGCGGAGGATGTTTGGTAAGTGATCAAAACTATCTTCTGTTTTAGAAAGAGTGATAGAGATATTTGTGAGCTTGTAGTACATTGATGGTCACGATATAAAAAAGTTAAATCTTCAATGGTTACGTTCAAAAATTGGTCTCATATCGCAAGAGCCTACTCTGTTCGATATGACTATTCAAGAAAATATTGCTTATGGTGATCATAGTCGTCAAATACCAATGACAGAAATAATTGAAGCAGCGAAGAAAGCG